ACGATGTGGCTGTACACCGCCGTGGTGAGTGAGGCCTATGATCACCTACGGCTGTGTGATATGGGCCAAGAAGATGTACCTGACCACCTACATCAATACCCGAAATGGACTCCAGAGACTTGCTTGCTTGATAATAACTGGGGCCATCTCCTCGACGCCCACCCTGGCCATGGAGGCGCTGTTAAACCTGCCGCCACTACACATCTTTGTGCAGAAAGAAGCTAGAGCGTCCATGGTTAGAGCGATTGAGATGGGAAGGGAGAGCTGGCACTCGAGTGTCATGAGAAACCTTAGGGATAGTCTCATGAATATTCCGCTCATGGCAATGCCATCTGATGCGATGACGTTAACGCATAACTTTGTGAGGTTTTTCAAAGTTATAATACCCGAAAGGGCGGAATGGAAGGAAGGCACTATTCCTCCCATTTTCAGGAAAGCTGAACTGGTATGGTTCACGGACGGGTCCAGGAGAGAGGGACTTGCTGGCTCTGGAGTGTTCTGCAAGAAACCCAAAGGCAGCGAGTCTATTAGCCCGGGACCATTCGCAACCGTCTTCCAGGGTGAGATGTACGCAATCATTGAGTGTGTGCATCTGAACCTGAAATACGTAGGCAAAAGTATACTCATCCTATCGGACAGTCAGGCCGCGCTAAAGGCATTACAATCCGATAACGTGTGTTCCAAGCTGACCATGGAGACCATTGAGCTCCTGAACCAGCTTGGCACTCGAAATCAGGTGACCTTGGGCTGGGTCCCAGGTCACTTAAACATAGGAGGAAATGAGGCAGCGGAGGAACTGGCCGGGAGGGCCTCCGGGTCACGACCTGTGGGACCGGAGCCTATCCTGGGCATAAACAAGTCGGCACCTCGAAGAGTCCTGAACATATGGGTGAATCAGCGAGCCCAAGAGCTCTGGAAGAGAACAGCAAGCCTAACACACTCTAAGCTGCTGATATGGGGATTCTTCCAGAAGTACACTTCCGTGATACTATCAATGAACCGGAATAATCTCAGGATGATTACAAGGGCCCTTACTGGACACTGTAATCTCAATAAACACCTCTGCAGGATGGGGCTTACTGAGGCCACTTACTGCAGATACTGCGCTGAGGACGATGAAACACCGCTACACGTCCTTTGCGAATGTGAGGCGCTTGTGCAAACAAGAAGCCGGACTACGGGTGGTCACTTGCTGTCCCCGAGAGAAGTCCAATCCCTTGACCCCAAACAGATCGTGGCCTTCCTTAGAATGGCCCGACTGGATGAGGTCATTTAGTCGTAAGGGTCGGCCACAATAGATCTGAAAAGGTCGCAGTGGCTGTTGGTCTGACCAGGACCAACCCCTAGTGATGGAACCGCAGCGGGAAGGACTTTGAAGAAAATGCAGGATGAAGTCAAACTATGATAATTTATTAAACGTAACATAGTTTCGATGTGTGAAAGCTATGTTACAATTTAAACTTAGTCTAACATTAAAACTAAGATTAGGTCTAGGCGACCCCTGCCCTCTATGTCTGAGGACAGAAGTGCTGGTTCGATGCTGAAGCCCGGCTTTATACTGGTCTTCAGCTGTAGTCTTGGAGGGGTCGAACTGTAGACTCAGCACTTCGTGTGATGGCCATCCGTGGTCAGCTTGAATCTGCACGTGGATGGAATCAGCAGATTCATCTCTTCTTGGGCACGTTCTTCCGCCTGCATTCCAGTGTCTCGAGCCGTAATCTACCATACATGAACACGTTTGCACGTAGGTAGAATGATCACGTCCAAAAAGGTTCAAGTCGACAGCGTCTGCGAGATTAGGGACTTCCGCATAGCTCGTACATAACATCTCCACCCGCAGATCAGCAACTATTTTCCAACGTTTAGTGAAAATGTTGCTGGAGGTTTCCCTGGGGTAAGGTGTTCTTCTGCTCTCCTGAAATCTGTTCTGATTCTGTCGTCTCTTTGTCGATCCATGATGGGTGTGGGTTGATACTGCTTCTCGATGACTTCGTTTCGTACTGGATATTGCTGTCTTCCAACGGCTGACCTTGATCTTTATTATATTCCAGGATCATAATGTGGATGGGCAGCGATGTCGTCACAGTTGTAGGTTAGTTAGTCATCTTGAACTTTACATTGGTTGGTGTTAGGTATATTCCTTTTCGAGACGGTGTCAGCTTCTCAATTTCGGGCATTCTGCCTTATTCGGTACACGAACAAATTCTCAATAGTTGCTATCAAGGGATAGGAAGGAATGAGGATTTGGTGGTTCTAATAGGAATATTGGGAAGTCTTAATAAATTTAAATACTCTCTAAGGGAATACTAAATTACTTGATTTCCAGGTGACATATTACCTACCTACTATCCAAATCATAAAGTACATAAAATTTCCTAACTACCTTTTTACCTTTACACCTACTAGATTAAATTATTCTAAGTAGGCCGCATAGACTATACTTTTAACCGTCTATGCCCCTTTAAAGTTGAACAATTTCTGTAATAATTTAAAACTAATAACTACATGATAAATTATACCTATAAAAGAATGCGCGATGCATCTATAATAGATTAGCTGAGCGAAGCTATTTCCATAAAGAATTAATGTCTATCTAAGTATCTATTCTATCCATAGGTGCCCGATGCACGCACGAATTCTCTAAATACTCATCTAATACAAAAGAACATATTCTGCAATTTTCATTCAGTGCTCGATGCACGTAGAAAATTGCGCAGAATATTAATTATTTTATTAAATAACATTACCTAGCGGCAACTTTACTAGCGGTCAATGTCATTCATTCATTTCATTACGTTACCTACCTATTCTAAAGATTTTAGCTTACATTGCACATTTTGCACAATGCAATACCTAACCTAGTGCAATAATTTACTGCTGATTCTCGATTGAACAGCTATGTTATAAGATATTGCTGTTATAAAATTTATCCTAATATATTATGAGGAGGGTGATGGGGTCTCCTTCATCCCTCAAACGAAAGCCTGCGTATTATTTTATTGCAGGGTACGTTTGACCTCAATACTTTGTAACTTATAAAGCTACACAAATTAAAACCTTAATCCCTACCTAATAGCTAATTCACATGAGTCAGCTCGATGCAGTCTCGCGATATGTAACTACATAGGAACAGGGACAGATAAAAAAAGGAATGACTTAGATAAAAGGGAAGCAACACGAGAACAGTTCAAGTGTACTTACATGGTTATCCTTCATCTCTGGTTTCCTCGTGAATCAATGTCTGGATTCCTCCTTCCCACAGAGTCCCGTAGATTCTTGCACTCCAAGGCAGCGACGTAGTCCGCCCAGGCGGCTTCCCGAACACGAACATGGTTGTCCTTAAAGCTCGTAGAAGTCCTGTGAGTGCTTACCGACTGCGCCAGTGATGGAACCGCAGCGGGAAGGACTTTGAAGAAAATGCAGGATGAAGTCAAACTATGATAATTTATTAAACGTAACATAGTTTCGATGTGTGAAAGCTATGTTACAATTTAAACTTAGTCTAACATTAAAACTAAGATTAGGTCTAGGCGACCCCTGCCCTCTATGTCTGAGGACAGAAGTGCTGGTTCGATGCTGAAGCCCGGCTTTATACTGGTCTTCAGCTGTAGTCTTGGAGGGGTCGAACTGTAGACTCAGCACTTCGTGTGATGGCCATCCGTGGTCAGCTTGAATCTGCACGTGGATGGAATCAGCAGATTCATCTCTTCTTGGGCACGTTCTTCCGCCTGCATTCCAGTGTCTCGAGCCGTAATCTACCATACATGAACACGTTTGCACGTAGGTAGAATGATCACGTCCAAAAAGGTTCAAGTCGACAGCGTCTGCGAGATTAGGGACTTCCGCATAGCTCGTACATAACACCCTTCTAACCAAATAATAATAATAATAATAATACTCCCGGTAGATACATCATACATACATACCGGTAGGCAAGGCAAACACAAACTAAACTGCAGAAAACAAAAAAATAGTAAGTATCAAAATTGTTTTATTGTAGTTTTTCAGTGTTAACATGTAATAGTAAGTAGTTTATGCAACTGCCTAATAATGAGAGGCTTTAGGATGAGAGTGTCTGTTTATCACACGAGGCGCACGAGGCGCAGCCGAGTGTGATAATAGTTTGACACGAGCATTCTAAAGCCTAATTATTTGCAGTTGCATACACTATTTTATCTACACTCTACAAGAAAAACTATGAAAAATAATTTAAACCTCCGCACTGCACTATGGCGATTGCAAGCCTATCTACTGAACCATCAACTGAACGACTTTTGTACATAAGTAACTTTTTAACTAAACGTTAAAATGGAGGCTCATAAAAACTGAACAACTTTTAAAATTAAATAAGTATCGAAAAATGATTTGAAGCAAAGATTTAATAATAAATAAGTCCTCATAATTTCAAGTGTCGTCCGCCGCGGGTGACACTTGTTTTTTTTTTTTCATTCGACTTACATTCGGCCAGTGTCAAATTGGAACAGATTACAATTTGGTACGCGGGTCAATTCGTTTAATTTTTTTTCAAATACTAGAAATCGAGTTACTTTATGTAGCTGCCAGTAGTATAAAAGTTTTTTTTAAATGCTGTATATTCGTAATGCAGTTCATTAGGTTCGTACTTTCGATTCTGTAAAACGAATATTACGAACTGAGTGTAGATAAAAGATTTTTAAAATTGGCGCCTTCTGTGTCCAAAGACTCGCTGGCCAGACTCTACCCTTCTTATGTGAAATGCAGTTATTGGGATTTTAATGCACTCACAGTGCTATATTATTCTCACAAGTGAAAATAAGAAAAAGAAAAAATTAATAATATAGCACTGTGAGTGCATTAAAATCCCAATAGATGGATTAAGCAAGCTTCATCAAATGGTTTGAATTCCACTCATAATGTGGACTAATCATATAGTAAGTTCTAAACACTTTCTATAGATGTCGCTGGATCGTCGCTTCAAGACGAGCATCAAGAGATAGAAAATTTGGCATCCATCGGCAGGTACATCGATAGCTCAGTGGCATGGCAGAGCGGTGGGGCGTTAACCCACGCGGCCCGGGTTCGATTCCCGGTCGATGTATGACATTTTTTCTATTTCTTATTTTCACTTGTGAAATGCAGTTATAGTTAGGTACATGCTAACTTTTGGTGTTTTAACAGATCTGCCTCCTTTTGGTATGAAAAATTCAACAACATCCGGGAAGCATTTTGGGCGGCGGTCAACACAACCGGCCTAGAGTCTGGCTAGCGAGTCTTTGGACACGGATATGGCGCCAATTTTAAAAATCTTTCACATGTTAACACTGAAAAACTACAATAAAACAATTTTGATACTTACTATTTTTTTTGTTTTCTGCTATTTAGTTTGTGTTTACCTTGCCTACCGGTATGTATGTATGATGTATCTACCGGGAGTAACAGAAATGGTATAACAAGCCGAAAGGAGGTCAAGGTACTCATGAAACTGAACAACTTTCCCCATGAAACATGGGTCGATATATGAAAAAAATATTTGGACCTCCCATACAAAATCGCAGATCAGCTGATTGATTTACTCTGAGAGGTCCAATTTTTTTTTTCATATATCGACCCATGTTTCATGGGGAAAGTTGTTCAGTTTCATGAGTACCTTGACCTCCTTTTGGCTTGTTATACCCTTTCTGTTACTCCCGGTAGATACATCATACATACATACCGGTAGGCAAGGTAAACACAAACTAAAGAGCAGAAAACAAAAAATAGTAAGTATCAAAATTGTTTTATTGTAGTTTTTCAGTGTTAACATGTTGCCATTTGAAATAATTGAATTATTTGACGTCCAAAGACTCGCTAGCCAGACTCAGGGGGGTGTCAGTTGTAGTTCCAAATTTCGACGCTCGTCGCTGCCTGTGGCGGCAGAATTTAAATTTGGAATGAAAAAAATTATTGTCAGTCAATTCATCTGTGACAAAGACACTTCTATGACAAGACTTTTCAAAATTTCAACGTGGCGTCTGTTGTTGATTAAATTTTTGGTGAAATTTACGGAATTTTATGAGTAGTCCTCGCAATAATGAATGCTTGTGTTTATTTATTATTTATTTCTCGAGTTATTGATAAGAGATTCTACTTTCGCAAAACCTTCGGATGCGTGACCTGAGGAGTGGACCATGACCTGAAACGTGGTAGGTAAGCTGTACCTTTTTAGGTTACGGGGTGATTACCTAAATATGATGATTCTTCATTTGGATATGTTTGCTCGTGGTTCTTTGTGTGTGCATAAGTGAGCAGAGCAATTTTTTGTGTACAATTTGCTGCATTTAATTATTTATGTAACATGAAGGGTTTTCCTTTCAGATCAAAATGCTTTGAGTGACCATAATTACTTCAAGACCCGATCTTATGATAATGATGATGATTCTGACCTCACCTAATTTGTGGGGAAAGCAAATATTCATGTGCAACCTTCGCCCATTTTTGTGAACACTGTACAAGCTTCTACATCTACCTAAAACGCCAGGCTGAAATAACTTTATCATGTATGTTGAATTAATTCTTATCAAACATCGCAATGGAAATTTCCGATAAAACTCTTTGTAAGTGGTAATGAGGTAAGTTTTTAAACTACTTTGAATAAATGTATTTTGAAAATTTAATAAACTGACAATTTAATTCCATTTTCTGAAGTTTTATTCACAATTTCTTATTAATTTAATCAAAATCAATACAGTATACCCTACAGTAGAATGCCGCAGTTTTATCGATAATGACCGCACAGCACTAATAATCGATGGCGATAAATGTTTCGATGGACAGCACTATTAATTATACTACCTTTTTGGATTTACTATCTCCTTATGGTCCTAATTTACATCTATGGTTAATGCGCGACACTAGCGCCAAGAGATGAACAATAATGTAGTGGGATATGTAATCTGTGGTAGTGGGACAAGTGACTGTCGTATCTGTAGCTAGTCTACATATTTAAGTTCATCTGTGGCCAGACTCTAACTAGGATTGACCAGAGATAGGATAGGATACTATTAAAATTCTGTCATTAAAATAATACCTTATCTGCACAGCTTATCTGTTAAGCTATCTGTAAATACGCAGGAACGGGGCAGCAAATCCGCGTTGTAAGGTTGTAAGCTATGGTTGTAAGTAACCAAAAAGATACAAAGTACAACACAGAGTAATTTATACTCTATGAACATTCATTATACATCATACTTCATGATTTTCTGCCAACGTTGTCAGCTACTGTCATTTAGATTTACACAAACATCTTAATTTGACGTGGTGTAAAACCTGAACAATTATTATTTATTTTTATTATGAAACTATCTAAATTGCGGTCAGGCAGGTAGAGAGACCGTGAGTGTAGTCGAGAGTATCGTGTAGGAGATCCAGCGTCGCGCGAAGATGGCGTCGGAGCCGAAGTACTCGTGCGAGATGTACAGCAACCAGTTCTTCGCGCTGTGCGCGGCGGGGGGCGCGCTCGCGTGCGGCCTCACGCACTGCTTCATCACGCCCCTCGACCTGGTCAAGTGCCGCCTGCAGGTCGACCCCGCCAAGTACAAAGGCATCTTCCACGGCGCCAAAGTGTCGCTCGCGGAGGGCGGCATCAAGAACCTCGTCAAGGGCTGGGCGCCGACGCTCATCGGCTACTCGATACAAGGCGCTTTCAAGTTTGCCGGATACGAGTACTTCAAATACAAATACGCGGATCTGGCGGGTCCGGCGAACGCTTACAAGTACAGCACGTACCTGTACCTGGCGGCGGCGGCGAGCGCGGAGCTGGTGGCTGACGTCGCGCTGGCGCCCTTCGAGGCGACCAAGGTGCGCATGCAGACCACGCCCGCCTTCACCTCGCAGATGCGCAAGGCGATGCCGCACATGCTGCGCACCGAGGGCATGGGCGTGTTCTACCGCGGCCTGGCGCCGCTGTGGGGCCGGCAGGTGCCCTACACGATGATGAAGTTCGCGTCGTTCGAGAAGACGCTCGTGTACCTGTACGAGAACTGGGTGCCGAAGCCGCGCGAGCAGTGCAGCAAGGGCGAGCAGCTGCTGGTGACGTTCATGGCGGGGTACATCGCGGGCGTGCTGTGCGCGATCGTGAGCCACCCGGCCGACACGATCGTCTCCAAGCTGAACAAGGACCCGGGCACCAGCATCGGGCGCATCATCTCGGAGGCGGGGCCGATGGGCATCTGGCGCGGGCTCACGGCGAGGATCATCATGATCGGCACGCTCACCGGCCTGCAGTGGTTCATCTACGACGGGTTCAAGGTGTACACGGGCATGCCGCGCCCCATACCGCTCACGCCGCCCAAGTAATGTTCACTAGTGCATGTTTACTAGTTTAGCACCTGGGTCAGCTGTAGATATAGACCAGAACTGAACATATTTGTATTTCGCTAATAACCAGCAGTCTCAGCAAGTAGAGTAGAATGCGCAGCGCAATGGAGAAGTAATACTGCTAGATACGTGTTGTTTGCTTAGTAGAATGTGCTTACATGCTCAAAACTGTTGTACCTATAAATGTTTGTGATGTGATGTGATTATTTTATAATTAAGCAAATTAAATACCTTGATATATCCCAGTTGTTCTCCTTAGCTTTGCGATTTTATTATTTTTTAATATATTATATTATAACTTTACATAGCTGACTGCTTTAGTGTTTGTTTTCTTTCAGAAAACAAAGCCCGTCACACTTTACTGAATGAAAATAGGTAGTCTAGTATTCTGTTAATTTAAGGTTGAAGCAAATTTTTTTTCATTAGGTGGATACTCTTAGGATCTTCAGAAAAGCGAAAGCTGGCGCAGAATGGCGCAGATAGATACTTACATACTTTGAAAGTGATAAGATATCGGATCAAATGTGTGCCGCTGTCACTGCTGATGACTGCTGGGTGGGGGGGGGGGGGCTGATGCTTGCTGCTCCTCACATTATTTAGTAAGCTTTACTTATTTTAATAAACGGTGTCATACATGCAACTGCTTTGAAACGCCAGATTCTATAGAAGTTTCGTTTAGTGCCTTAACTTGCTCAGCATATCTACTCTTGTAACTGTGCTCAGTTTTCTTTCAGAATTTCAACTGAATTTCCTGAAAAACTATTTTAGGTACATCCCGCGCCCTATAGTGGGTTTGCTAGTGGCTATGCTTGCTGCGGCTATCCTCGCCTTATTAGTATACCTAGTAGGATAGATATACCACCCAAGAGGGGTACTAAAAACTTGCAGGTTGTTGGCAGCTTGCATTATTATTATCTTTGTTTTAAGTTTTGCACAAATCAACAAGCACGAATTGCGAAGGTGAGAGAATGTGTGTTTGTGTGTGCAAACCTATGTTACCAAATATCTCCCAAACCACTAGTCTGATTTTGATGCGGTTTTCAGTGATGTTTCTGTATTTCAGTGGTACATGTTCTTAGATAGGTAGGTATTATTAATATTATTACAACTTTCAAATTACCGCAGTCGGGTTTTGGTTTTTAATGCACCTGATTATTTAAAAGACTTTTTAAAACTTCGGTTAAGTACTATTATATATTCTGTGGGTTAAGCGAAGCCCTCGTGCTGTCAGCATGCGAAGGGAAGAGACGGATGGAGATGGGAGGGTGATGCTAGACTCCGTGGCACCTGAGGGGAAGACGGCGGGGGTGGAGGGGATTGCCAAGTTTCCTTCACAACACAACGGCTACGATTTAGAGAGTTCGTAGACAGGAACCACACTATTCGTAGAGGTTTTCTCGTAGCATTTGAGCGCTAAGGCGGGATGGAACGTACGTAGAGCTAGTAGTATGCTAAGTACCTTTTCATAGATGACTGTAGCACTTCTCTGTTCATTAAATCTATCAAAAAGTCAAAAGTTGTTTAGATAAGTAGGTACTGCGTTCCTATAGGTAGAAGGCACGTACTTAAGTAAACACATAAAAGTGGAAAGGGTAATTAAATAACCTTGTTAACTGATATAATCTTCTTTTCGTGTGGGACATCGACCCGATGAAACCTGGTGTCAGAATGTTTCAACCGCCTACTGCAAGTAGCATGGCATGGTAGCAGTAACTTTTATAATTATGAACTAGGAATAACAGG